TGCAGCAACGACAAATAGGTCATCCAGTGTACTACGCAACATCAAAGTGGCAACATTTAATGTCGAAAATGTCATTACAAACCAGATATTCCTAGAATCATCCTGAAGACGTCTGACATCGTTGGGTTGCAGGAACATTGGCTATTCACATTCGAACAGGAGATGCTAACAAGACTTGCTGATGAAAATGGATTCTCGTGCACTATCAAATGCAGTGACGGCGAAGACCCAAAAGCGAGACCGAGGGGCATGGGCGATGTGGCACTCCTATGGAGAAAAGACCTTGATCCTCATATCACAACTCTGATGGAAGGTGGTACGCGCATCTGCGCAATACAGCTGTCAGCCACCAACATAGATCTGATCATAATCAACTCGTATCTCCCATGTCAGGGGCGCAACGCGGAAGACAACTTTAAGACTCCTTGACTCAGCTGCACGAGATGATACAAAAATACTCACCTACTTCAGATAGTATAGCTTTTGGAGACTTCAATGCTTCACTGCATAGGTAACCCCCAAACTCACGGGATAGGAAATTTAGAGACATGATCCAGAACATGGGATTAGTTACTGAACCAACATACCCAACAACTAAGACGTTCTTTCACTTCACAGGTCATTCATCGTTGATTGACTACATACTACGGACACCATCAGCACCCGGGCTCGAAATCAAAGTCTGGGACAGAGACCCACTGTATCTCTCCACCCATAGTCCGGTTACCGGAGCAACAACAATCAATCTACCTGTAATTTCAAAGAACCGACCTAATCCATCAGATCTTCCGACCTCCCATATAACACGAGTCAACTGGAAGAAGGCCAACATACACAACTATCAACAGTCTATCTCGGAAAAACTGAACCGACTTGACACCAATGGAATGGACACACAGGATCTCCTGAATACAATAACAACAACCTTGCCCATGAACGACAATGGAGTGATAAACTCAAATCATTGTGCTCCGACAGCAAAAGGGCATACTGGCTTTGGAAACAATCTGGAAAACCATCTGGATCATAGAAGCTAAGAAGGCGCTAAGGAAACACAAGAGACAAACCACTGCTGAAAATAGGAAGCAAACATACAACGATATAATGGAGGCCCAACCATCTGACATGAAACTGTTCCATCACCTGATTAACAAACAGAGAGGGGGAAATGTTCACCCGTAAACTCTCACATCTCGTCGTTGACGACCGATATCTTCAGGATAACGACGAGTTTTGTGCTGGATGGGCCCGCTACTTTAAGCACCTCAGCCAACCAAACAACAGCAATATCTATGACAACAACTACCAGGAACAAGTCGACAGAGACATCAAAAACATAACTAAACTCTGTAGACAAACAACCAAAGCAACACATACACAGGAGGAAATCAGAAAGATCATCACCACCTTACACAACGGGAAAGCAGCTGATGGAGAGGGAATACAAGCAGAACATCTTAAGTATGCTGGTACTAGTCTCCCTACCGTCCTTACGGAACTGTCCACTAAAATGCATAACGACCAAACAATTCCAGAAACCTTCAAGTCAGGAATAATCACCCCTATTTACAAGAAACAGGGCAAACTAATAGATGACCCAAATTCATACCGCAGGATCACTATCTCCAGCATCATCGGAAAAACCTTTGAAAAACTACATCTGCAAAGGAACAGCAATGTCATAGAAGGCCACCTCAATAAAATGTAAAAGGGCTTAAGGAAAGGAACGTCTCCCAATAATGCGGCACTGCTATTGACGGAATGCATTGCTGAGTGTAAGGACACTGGCAGTACCCTCTACGCAGACTTCCTCGATGCCTGTAATGCCTTTGATGTAGTATGGCACAATTCCATGTTGCGACGTCTCCACCAACACTGCCTCCAGTCTACTGACTGGCTTCTTATGAAAGAGTGGTACAACAACCCTAAATCCTGCGTCAAATGGGAAGGCAACATCTTCGAATGCTTCCCAGAACAGCAAGGAGTCAGCCAGGGAGGATGCTGGTCTCCAACTGCGAATAATATGTTCATAAACCCATTCATAGACCTATTGGAGTAAAAATATCTGGGCCTTAAAATAGGAACGACACATGTACATTGTAAGCAGTCCTACCTGTGCAGACGACATCGTTCTGCTGTCAAAGACCCATGTGAGCTACAAGTGATGCTCCACCTTCAAGGACACTTTGCCTCAAGAGAACGATACTCCTTTAGTGCCACTCATGATCTTCAACCGTCCGAAATTCCTTGAAGTGGACCAGATCAGCCTGGACCTCACAAACAAGAGCTTAGAAGTTGTATAAACATATAAACACTTGGGGATAAATAGGTCACCATCTAGTAAAAGATCTGTTATAAACATCTCAGAAGAAAGGGTCCAGCTCGCCAGGAGGACGGCCTATTCACTAATGGGAGCTGGCCTACACGGGTACAGTGGAGTGAACTCCAAGGTTCTAATTCAACTTTGGAACACTTATGTAAGGCCAAGGATGCTGTATGCTGTCATCTACCGCCGACTCTGCAGTATACATCCTATCTGGAGAACTTCCAGCTGAGGCCTACCTAAATATGTTATAAGAACAGACTCCCCTGAGAGGGAAATCGCCCAAAGACAACTGAGTATCAAAAGCCCAACATTAAGCAGTTGGTTTATAAATATACGACAACTGCCAGAACGGTATGGACTCCCGTCAGCCCTCCATCTGTTGGACACCGCCTTTACAGAGGGAAAGTGGCGAAATCCCGCCAAAACTGCCATCAGTATCTACTGGAAAAAGCATGTGGATCACCTACGCCAAGGAAAATCCTCGCTGGTATACCTACACCATGACACCATGCGCATTGCATCAGTTCACAATGTTTTTGACTCTGTGCCCATGGACACTCTGGCAGTGAGGAAAGCCACTGTCAAAGCAAAGTTTTTCGCTTGGTCATACACGCTTCAAAGCACCAGAGCGAAGTACCTCAAAAACTGCAAGTCATTATGTCTCATGTGCCAAGCCAGTAGTGAGGATATCCGACACTTTGTACTACGGTGCCCAGCACTGGAATCTGTCAGGAGTCGTTACATACCTCTCATACATCAAGAAATCGTTGACAACTGCGACCATATAGTTGGCTCATCACTCATCAGAGATGCTGACAAGTTTTTACAGACTGTTCTTGACGTGACTAATCCTCTCCTACCGCTAACTCTACAGGGCGACGAAACATTTCTAGAAAATATGTGTTATGCCCTACACCTGGGTCGATGTATTCTGCTGGACATTGCCACTGCAGGGAGTATTTATACCGTTGTGCCTGACCCCTGCCATTTAATGCCCCACGAGACTCTAGACAAGTAATAATAATGGCTATTCCTGTATATACATATCTCCACTCACTCGATGCACATAGATACATACACTGGTAGTAAGTTCTAATTAACCCTGTACATAATAACTGAGATATAGGTCGTTTAAACTGTCTCGTTCTCTTCACATTATAGTTCACCCGAACTTAGTCTACAAAGGTCATTGATTAAGCTCTACTTTCCCATAGACTACTCAGCAAACACTGCAACACAGACTTATATAGGTAACATATGTCTCCCACATCAGCTATGCAGCTTCAAACCGCCAGTCAAATATAGTGTATCTGGCTTCAGAATCAACATACAGCCTCACAAGCTGGTTCTCCTACAAGAGGAGGGAGTTACTACTACTACTAGAGGTTATTATTGTTCCAATGCCTCCGCTAGGGGTCCTACCTGGGACTGGTTTACAAGTCTTACGCCCTACTATATGAACTGAAGAGACCCGAGTCGGGAGGAAGCGACTAGTAATTTACCAGCGTGACATACCCTCTCCAGGACAGAACTCTTCACAACTTTTCATTGGCTATTCACTGGAGCCATACATAGGTTATTGTTGTTTTCAACGCCTCCGCTAGGAGTCCATCCCGGGACCTTTGGGTACTCGTCTTCCGCTTTATCGAATGAACTTAAGATTAATGATCGTTGATCAGGTAGGAAGTGGCTAGTATTTTACCATGATACCATATTTATAATCCACAGATAATTACATTGGTCACAGGGAAATGTCACGTCATGTACATAGTGTCATGTGTTTGATCACAGGGACAAGATACAAGATACAAGACACTTTATTTAACGTCGCATACAGGTAAACAAGGAACATTAGCTCTTGAGAGCTATTATTGCGACAAACATATGTAAAATAACAAGTGGAATATACATACAATGCTACATAATAAAATATAGCAAAGAAGACAAATTGACAGAATTTACACTATTATAGTATGAATTAAAAATGATCTAAATCAATCAACAAAATTTATCAAGTTTTGTAATAATATATATTTTAGAAATATGGAATTAAAATACAAATAAGATGCTGCAAAAAAATAGAATTAAAACGTATTCGAAATGAAATAAGACAATAAAAGTATCGCACAATCCAAAATGACAGGTGGCAGAGGTAACCAGGGCACAGTATGAAGTATCACTCTTTGCAGATATTGCAAAGGCAGATGGGGCCATCCCAGGAATGGACCAGCCTCCTGAATTCTTTGAAGTTTTCAACTTTTCTGAAGTCATTATGGAAGACTGTTCCATACCCGGGCGGCCTCAAAAGCAAACGATTTATATCCATACTTCACAGTGTTGACCCTGGGCACCTCTGCAGTTCTTTCTGTCCTGAAGTCATGATTAGACATCTTAATATTTACAAGATTATGAATATATTCAGGAGAATTTTTGTTTATACTTTAAAAAAACCCACAACTCGTTTCCTTCAGACACCTTACTTGAAGCCTGTCGCTGTTGGTAATACTGAGTAAGTGCCTGAAGGATGAGTATGACCTTAGAATGTGTAACAGCTATATTTGGAACTAAACTAATGTGCTCAGAGTAATTGTATGTGTTTCGGGGGTTAAGATAGACTTTCGGTACTCCCGAACAGCCATTGGAGTCTGTCGTCATAGTTGGCTGATATCGCCTTTCACAGCTCGCAAACGTATGGCAAGAGTTGGCCACAATCCTCATCGTGGAGCTTGACAGGTGATGCCGATGTGCCTGAGGATACAGACTTCAGTGTTTTTTGTGCTTCACCTGAATTTGAAGTGGAAGTCTGAGCAATAAGCCTCACGCATTGTTCGGCATTTCCACCATCCGGTTGGTTCGTATCCCATGGTAACGAGGATGATAAAAGGTCGCCAGTGACCAGCCAGCGGAACTCTCCCTCGACCGCTGAGTCCGTGGCTCCCACCCACATACCAATGGAGGTTCCTGTACCGAGTGGAGGGAAAACATGGAGGAATCAGAATATGTTACAGCGCCAACAAAGCAGGGTAAAGTCGGAGGTCAAGGTCAAATCGAAAGAGAATAAAACAGGAAGTGAAACCATAAGGTGACAGTACCCACATCGGATCACCAAACCATCATTTTATTAAATCATTGAAAAATCTGAGGAGGAATTATATTCATTTATGGTTGTATCAAAGGAAGAATATCGATGGGTGTTCTTACAAACGAAATTAGCACCCGGGGCTCACTTGAGATATTTATAGAACGCTCTGAAATCACCTTTCAGCGTCTCCATTTTTGCGAATGTCAGGACCCAAATCGGATCAAGGCTTGATTTTATTTTGCAGTATCTTACGCTTCAAATGAATATTTTTTGTCAGCGTATTAACATTTTATGATGACCATTAAAATGTGTATGACAACAAGTATTTCTATAGTGTGAATGTATTCCTATAGTCCAAAACAGTGTGCATAAGGTGACAGAACCCACATCGGATCACCAAACCATCATTTTATTAAATCATTGAAAAACTGAGGAGGAATTATATTCATTTATAGTAGTATAAAAAAAAGAATATCGATGAGTGTTCTTACAAACGGATTTAGCACCCGGGGCTCATTTAAGATATTTATAGAACGCTCTGAAGTCACCAATCAGCGTCTCCGGATTTTGCGAATGTCGGGACCCAAAACGGACCAAGGCTTACATTTTACAGTATTGTACGCTTCAAATAAATATTTTTTGGTCAGCATATTAACATTTTATGATGAACTTTGGAATATATATGACAAAAAGTATTTCTATAGTGTTAATCCAAAACAAAGTGCATAGTCGTCCCACGCGCCATTTTTTTTAAACGTAATAAAAACATTGACATTTGAGTTTCAATAACGTTTTCTTGCGCTATTTGAACTTAAAAACTAATTATTTGTAGACAAAAAATGGTGCATGGCTATCTATGCTAAGACTACATCATTGTTATAACTGCTTTGTTGACACATTTATTTATTTATAAGTATTTTTGCAAAAAGTGATCCGATTTGGGTACCGATCCGATTTGGGTACTGCCACCTTACTTATGACCCGGAAGGGCATGTTCTGCCTTTGCCATATTTGGCACACGCCATTATTTCTCCTGCCAAATGCAGGAAATACGCAGATAGCCAGCAAAACAGTTAATGATTGTGACAATCATATTTATTTCATAACTGATCATAAGCATGTATAACGATTAAATGTATAACAAGGTTGGGGAAATGTTGAGATATCTAACGAACAAATGTCACTACCAACATGTCCAAAGTTAAGATTTTTTTTATATATTGCGCGCGGGTGGAGGAGGCCGTGTATTAATATAAGTATCCTAGCCTAAGGCACAAAACACAGTATTCCACCTGGTGACATTATACCAGTTGTTGCCATTACCCTATAGCAAAAATAATAACTACGTGTACCATTTTCAGGTCTTTGGTATGTCCTGGTAAGGGGACAACACCAAGTTACCTTCCTCGGCTGGGCGAACGATCAAACGTTCTACGTGTACCATTTTAAGGTCTCTGGTATGTCCTGGTATGGGGACAACACCCAGTTACCTTCCTCGGCTGGGCGAACGTTCAACCGAAGGTCAAAATAGAGGTATTGCAAAAAGAGGAAAATAAAAACAAAAATAATAAGATCCAAAATGTTGCAATGTGTGCAGCAGATTAACTTTGGTCACTTTTGTGACCCCTAGCTGAGGTACAAATGCAACTCCACGATTCTGCAGGGTAGTCGTGATTGAAGCGTGAATTAACAAGGTTTCTGGTCCAAAACTAGTCCCGTTCAACAAGACTCTTGCTACGCCGAACAGAGAGGGATCAAGCGTCTGGTTGAATGAGACTAGTTAAAACGTATCAATGTTATATCTGAATTAATCGCGTTATAATATTGGGTTATCCGAGTGATAGTCGTTGATTTCTTTACCTTACTCTCATTAGTTAATTTTAAAATTCTGTAAAAAAACACAAGGTTTACCGAGTTCAGGGGTCATTGCTCCCATAACTTTCGTGGTATGCACGTCTAGTTAATCATGGTCGCTTGAACAAACACAAGTGGTAACTAAAAGTGTTTACCATGACAGAGCAGGTCAACTTAATGAATCGGGAGAGAGGAAATCCAGAGAGGTCGTGGGAGAAAAAAAAAGGATTCCATATTTGTTTTGTAAATAAGTGCGTGATTGGATATCGTTGCGTTACCTTGAAATAAACTGATGGTGTTATCGTCTGCTGTGTCAAGGGTCAACAGGTGACCTCCGTCGGCTGTGCACGCATCACTGGCATCCTGCCAAGTCAGGGCGTCACCGTGTTCCTTAAAACACGTGCCTGTAGGGTCCTCATAAGCGTAGTCGAACCTACGACAGGTCACTGCAATGGAATTGAATCTCTCAACACATTAGTGCCGTAGCCTCCTACTGGTGGGATTTGTCACATTTCAACAGGTGCAAAGGGTATTTGTCTCACATTGTGGAATCTTTGTGTGAAACTTTATTACAACCCAAGGCCAATCGGATTGTAACATGTCATACCTTAATCGAGGGCGAAATCTTTAAAAAGATTACATTATGACCAAGTCCTGAATCGTTTACATGAACAATCCCGTCATTTTGTTAGGATAGTTTTCAGGATAAGTGTGGATTAACCTAAACAAAATCTTCCATTTCGTAATCGTATGCCTGATAAAAAGTGCGGACAGTCTACACTCTAAAATGCCATGATTGATTGGTTAATTACAAACCTGTAGAATATCGAACAGATAATAATAAGTCTCAAACAATGCTTGACGGAAAAAATCAAATAGAGACTCAATAGCTTTAAGTTTTAAATAAAATTCAATGGTAATCAGTATTGAACCTTTCTTACCTCTATGATTTAAATAGACTCCACCACACGTTATTTGGATGAGTCCATTATGGTCTACATTGGTGAAAGGGTTAACCAACGATTTATGACAGTTGAGTTCAATACAAAAGGATATACTTGGAAAAGAAATTCGTTAGGAATATACAATAACAGAAACCAAGGAAACATAAAAACTATTATGGGGATTGTTTGTTAAATCACCAAAAATATAAGCAAAGAAGGAAATACAGAGCTTTAAGCGTTTCCGCCACCACACGGGGCGCCCGTTATGATGTACAATATCATCGAATCGACGAGAAAGGGCAATCGGCAACCGTCGGTACTTTCCGTAAACGAGTAGTTTCTCGTTTACGGAGAGTGCCGATGATTCCCGATTGCGAAGAAGGGTTGACATGTGGTTACATGCGGTTGACATGCGGTTACGTATCGGCCATGACCACTGCTTGTTAGATCACCTGAGCTTTGCTCAAGTGACCTATTCCAATCACTTTCCGTCCGTCGTCGTCCGTCGTCCGTCGTCCGTCGTGCGTCATGCGTAAACTGTTTACATTATCAACTTCTTCTCATGAACCAGTGGATGGAATTTTTCAAACTTGGTCAGAATCATCCTTGGAAGATGAGGCTACCAAATTGTAAAATTGGGATTCCTACCCCAACCCTAGGGGCCAGGGCGGGGCCCAAAAGGGAAAATTAACCAATATTTCAAAAATCTTCTTCTCCAGACTCAGAGGTATTACAGTCATTTTCTCTGCATGGATGGAAAGATCATCAGGGGCTTTATTTAAATTGTAAATTTCAGGACCCCCGAGCTATCCGTTCTCCCTTGGGGAGGGGGTAAAGTTTACTATAGTTTATATAGGGAAACAACACTTTTGGGTATATTTTGACAATTTTCTGTTGGAAATTATTTTTACTTGGTCAGAATCATCTTTGGTGGATGACGGTATCACATTGTAAACTTGGAATTCCTGCCCCATCCCCAGGGGTTAGAGCGGGGCCCCAAAGGGAACATTTACAAATATTTTAAAATTCTTATCCTTTGATGACATGACAAGTATTGTATTTCACTTAGTTTACATGCTGATTTCCACATCACATCTAAACAATAAAATAAAGCTACCAGTACCTATGATATGACTCAGGTGACCGCTAAGGCCCTTGGGCCTCTTGTTTCACACATTTACAGGTGAACGCCAAGGTGACGCCAATGGTCCCTCATTTTTCTTTCTAATGCATCATTTAAAACTACTACTAATTTAAGGGGTTCTATTACATGTAACTGAGCGAGATCGAGGTATCTCAGTCGAAGGATAAGATTCTGTAACATAATCCTAACTAAGGCGCCATTGAGATAACACGATCTTTGATTTTTGTCTCTCGAACATCGTAGTTTGAGAACATATTCAATCTCGCTATAGTTTACAGGTACCCCGTCCGTGGCCTCAAACCAGCATGGCCTCCTCACTACTAGTCCTAAGCTGAATGCTTCCGCGTAAACAATGTAGTCTGTCAATACAAAGAATAAAACGTATTCACAGTGTATGTTATATTTTATCTACAACATGATCATCAGGACCTAACAACATCAAACCTATGTATATCACGACAAACAGAATATTGATAATGTATGAGTGTATCACCTGTGAGTACACTCAGCGAAATGTTGCGGAGAGGTGCAAGATAGATTGGTCGAAATAGAAACATCTAAGACGGTGCATAACATGTGATATCACTGTCTGATAAACAAGGAATACATTTCCAAGTAACGCGTCATACGTAATCACATGATTAGGAGGCACGGTAGTCTAATGGTAGGACGCCGGGCTCGTGACCAAAGGGTTGCGGGTTCGAGTCACGGCACGGCAATGTATTGTATCTTTGAGCAAGATACTTTAATCCGCTTGCTCCAGTCTACTCGAAATGGCAGCACCGGCTGTATGCTCCCCAGGCAGTTGAGAAAGATATTGACTGGTTGCAAAGGCCCTATAACCACGGATAATAATTTGTGAACCGCTTTGAGACGACCCACGAACTAGGTTGTGATAAAGCGGTATATAAGAACCTCGAATTATTATCATTGTTATTATTATTATTACTTTTACATTTTCCATACTTACCACGCCAATGTTGGAATGAAGGGACAACGGCTTTCCTCTTCGAGTGAAAAATGCATTCGCTTGATTTTTTACTGAAGAATATGTATCTGCACTCTGGCACAACCTCACATTTGACGATGCAGGCGATTACACTTGGAACTGCTTCCTTCAGTAAAGGCAGACTTGATTTGTCAATATTCTTGTCACTTGTCAGCAGTTCGTACCTTTTAAATTCCTTAGCTTTTACGGCTGTAGAGGGGAGAGAAACGTGAACAGGGATAAACAAATAGTTATATATGTTACTATTTCAATGAGTAGTTAGTAATATAGAGACAATATACCTGAGTTTATACCACATTATACCCCTCTCACACAAAGCAACATATGCTACCCTAGATCTAAACCCCTTCACTCTCATCTTCTTATGCTACCTTATATCCAATAACCCTTTTGTGCTGAGACGGTAATGCCTCTGTCACACTTGACCGGATTGAGCCTCCGAACGTGAACCGGATGACATATTTGTATATCCGGTGATGTTCGTCAATATTCGTTTTATATCAGTTTTATGTTCGGAACATTCGTTTCATGTCAGGTGATGTGCGGTGCGTCCGCCTGCATCCGTTAGAAAGTTTTGTGCATGCACAAAAATTAAAACGGACTGTGACGAACAAGAAAATTAGTTAGTTGTCCTATGCATGTCCCTTTTTTGTCCTGTATATCTCCTGTCATTGTTCGCAATTCTTCGTTTATATGCTGTAGGTGTGCGAGGGATACGTTGTTCAGTCCGTAGATGGAACTTGAACGCATACGCCACGCATTAACCGGACCTTTAACGAACACCTAACGGACAAACACAGGATGCCTGCAGGATTAACACCGGACAAACGAATTGAAAAACGGATAAAACGTACAGAACTGATGAATACAGAATACCTACAGAATACCTGCAGGATAACTACGGGGAGAGGCACTGACTCTACCGGCAGAACCTGATTATCCCAGGGCATATAAAAAGGTTCTTCGAAGCTTCCAAATCCGATTCACAGACAGTTTTCCAGCATCACCATAGATCGTCAGGCTAGATTTTCCCTACAGTTTAGGACCGCCTTACTGCAGGCAGAAATGCATATGAAAAATGTTCAGATGGACCTTCAGCAGTATCTTTCCCACAAGAGAAGAAGGCGCCGCAGGGGTCAGCGAAGACGATATTGGTCATGTCTGAGCCCGGAGAGACGAAGGCAGTTGGGTCTGTATGGTAGAATTGCGGCGGGAGGACCCTGCCGCCTTCTGCAAATTCATGCGCATGCATCCGGAGATGTTTGACGAAATCTTGACACGTGTGGGGCCACGCATCACCAAAAAGCAGAGCTGGATGAGGGAACCGCTGGAGCCAGGGTTGAAGTTGGCCCTCACACTTCGGCATTTAGCATCAGGAGCAACGTACATGGACATGCGCTATGGCTGGAGAGAGGCCCACACAACACCATCTCCCTCGCTGTCAGAGAGGTAATTATCATTTTTATTATCTTGTCTCATTTTTTCATGTATTTATTGCATTTTTGTCCCTTTTATTGAAACAATATTATTAAAATGACCAGGGCCTCTTCCTCCTCATTTTTCAGATGGCAACTTTTCTTGACCCTCTTTTTGGCAGTCTGTCGCCCAGCTTCTTCAAAACCTTCTCCAACTTCACCTGCAACATCTCCTATCTCTTCGCCACCTTCAACTGCAACAGGCACGTCATCACCACCTTCATCATGCTGCGTTTGTATTTCCTCAGTTTCTTGTGTAGTTTCAGCATGAACAGCCACTTCTTCTGTCTCTTTTTCTTTTCCAGGCACATTCTTCATGTTCTTCTTTGCTTTCCTTCCACGAGGCATTGTGGAGATGCAGTCAGCAGTGCAACTTTTCGAAAACTGGTCCGCTGGAGAAACGCATTCGCAAACACACCTTGTTGTTTCCTGTACGCGCCCGTTGATGTCTGTTATGTTTTCGGTTTGTCCAGAACACGTCTCCGCTCCACTCGTCCTTAGCGGGAGGCAGTGCGGTCTTTGTTGTCTTCATCTGAGCATGATGGAGTTCAAGGTGAACACGTCTCCTCTACACTCGTCCTTAGCGGGAGGCAGTGCGGTCCTTTTTGTCTGCATCTGAGCATGATGGAGTTCAAGGTGAACACGTCTCCGCTACACTCGTCCTAAGCGGGAGGCAGTGCGGTCTTTGTTGTCTTCATCTGAGCATGATTGAGTTCAAGGTGAAGATAATATTACAGTTATATACCAACACTAATTTGCTGAAAACACGAAGTTGTACCAGACCGTAAAACCTTTAATTTGCTTTTAACACTATGCGGTCTATTGGGCACCAAACTTTTTAATTTCTCTTAGGGCTAATTTATTCCTAACATATACCGCCTCAAACTATCATCGCTAGACTGTTTTTACAACAAACGTGTTTACGATCTGGCAATCTCCCATAAGATTTAACTACTTATTCGGAATGACCTGAAAACCACACATTACGCTTTTCAATAACAAAGGCAATTAACTCTATTTAAGACCGTTGTATATTTATTACCGATCGCATAAATTATTTATTGTTAATTAGCTTTTTCATTTGCAAGTTCAATTTATTATCTTCACAGACCTTCACTTCACAACATAATAATACATACGTCACAGTGACATACCCTTTATCTCCGGATGTCTGTTAGGGACAACTTATGATGTTTAGTACAAACTACATAAAAGTTACTTCATTTGGTTTGTTTGTGTTTTACGTCCTATTAACAGCTATGGTCATTTAATGACCTGCCAGGGTTTTGGTGGTGGAGGAACGCAGAAAAACCACCGACCTACGGCCAGTACCTGGCTACTGCCCCATGCAGGTCTCGAACCCGCCACCCAGTGTAGGAGGGCTAGTGGTAGTAGACTGCCAGACGCCTTAACCACTTTCCCACTGCGGCCCCATACTTACTTCAAATAAGTAATAAGGAAACACACCCTTTCACACTTAACTAAACCAAACAAGGTAAACATGTGTGCTGTATCGTCGGTGATTTCTTCTATGTGGATTTCCCCGGTAATACTAGACGTGAAACAATTGAAACTTCACGTCTAAAGTTCCGACATATTTATATTTAGTCCAGTTAGGACTCCGCTGTAATACTAGACGTGAAACATTTCAATTTGCAATATCACGTCTTAAGTTCCGAAATATTTAACAAACAAACGAAATCCTTCTGCAACAAATGCTTTATTCGTATTTCATGTAAACCAGACTGGAAAATCTCCAGCAACAAGGTTGCGTGAAATGTCCGAACTGACAGCAGAGTTTATCACCTCGCGACATGAAGATACGATCCTCGATCGGAGAAACAAATGCCATGACCTATGACGTCACAATTGAAGATTATGTCGTAAAGCATTGGGGATTGGAGACTGACCAATTAAATTACGTCAAAGTTGTTGATGAATTCTATCATAATATTTTGATTAGTGATATGAAGAAATATCGGTATCTTGAAAAAGAAATTTTGAATATTTTTTGCTTCAATTAATTACATATGTGTTTTATTGTGATGATTACACATGTGTTATATAGTGATGATGACACAGGTGTTATATACTGATGATTACACAGGAGTTATAAAGTGATGATTACACATGTATTATATAGTGATGATTACACAGGTGTTATAAAGTGATGATTACACAGGTGTTATATAGTGATGATTACACAGGTGTTATATAGTGATGATTATACAGGTGTTATATAGTGATGATTACACATGAGTTATGTAGTGATGATTACACAGGTGTTATATAGTGTCGATTTCACAGGTATTATATAATGATGATTACACAGGTGTTATATAGTGATGATAACACAGGGGTTATATAGTGATGATAACACAGGGGTTATATAGTGATGAATACACAGATGTTATATAGTGATGATTACACACGTGTTATAAAGTGATGATTTCACAGGAGTTATATAATGATGATTACACATTTCTTATATAATGATGATTACAAAGCTGTTATATAGTGATGATTACACACGTGTTATAAAGTGATGATTTCACAGGTGTTATATAATGATGATTACCCATTTGTTATATAATGATGATTACAAAGCTGTTATATAGAGATGTTTACACAGGTGTTATATAGTGATGATTATACAGTTGTTATATAGTAATGATTCCTCAGGTGTTATATAGTGATGATTATACAGGTGTTATATAGTGATGAATAGACAGGTGTTATATAGTGATGATTTCACTGGTGTTATATAATGATGATTACATAGGTGTTATATAGTGATGATTACGCAGGTGTTATATAGTGTCGATTTCACATGTATTATATAATGATGATTACACAGGTCTTATATACTGATGATTACACAGGTGTTATAAAGTGATGATTTCACAGGAGTTATATAATGATGATTACACAGGTGTTATATAGGGATGATTACACAGGAGTTATGTAGTGATGATTACACAGGGGTTATATAGTGATGAATACACAGGTGTTATATATTGATGATTACACAGGTGTTATATTGTGATGATTACACAGGTGTTATATAATGATGATTACATAGGTGTTATATAGTGATGATTACACGGGGGTTATATAGTGATGATTACACGGTTGTTATATAGTCATGATTACACAGGTGTTATATAGAGATGATTACACAGGTGTTATATAATGATGATTACATAGGTGTTATATAGTGATGATTACACGGTTGTTATATAGAGATGATTACACAGGTGTTATATAATGATGATTACCCATTTGTTATATAATGATGATTACAAAGCTGTTATATAGAGATGTTTACACAGGTGTTATATAGTGATGCTTACACAGGTTTTATATAGTGATGATTACACAGGGGTTATATACTGATGATTTCACAGGTGTTATATAATGATGATTACACGTTTGTTATATAGTGATGATTACACATGAATTATAAAGTGATGATTACACATGTGTTATATAGTGATGATTACACGGTTGTTATATAGTCATGATTACACGGTTGTTATATTGTGATGATTACACAGGGGTTATATACTGATGATTTCACAGGTGTTATATAATGATGATTACACGTTTGTTATATAGTGATGATTACACAGTTGTTATATAGTGATGATTACACATTTGTTATATAATGATGATTACAAAGCTGTTATATAGAGATGTTTACACAGGTGTTATATAGTGATGCTTACACAGGTTTTATATAGTGATGATTACACATGAATGATAAAGTGATGATTACACATGTGTTATATAGTGATGATTACACGGTTGTTATATAGAGATGATTACACAGGGGTTATATACTGATGATTTCACAGGTGTTATATAATGATGATTACACGTTTGTTATATAGTGATGATTACACATCAATTATATAGTGATGATTACACATGTGTTACATAGTGATGATTACACGGGTGTTTTATAGTGATGATTATACAGGCGTTATATAGTCATGATTACACGGCTGTTATATAGTGATGATTACACAGTTGTTATATAGTGATGATTACACACGTGTTATAAAGTGATGATTTCACAGGAGTTATATAATGATGATTACACAGGTGTTATATACTGATGATTTCACAGGTGTTATATAATGATGATTACCCATTTGTTATATAATGATGATTACAAAGCTGTTATATAGTGATGATTACACAGGGGTTATATACTGATGATTTCACAGGTGTTATATAATGATGATTACATAGGTGTTATATAGTGATGATTACACGGTTGTTATATAGTCATGATTACACAGGTGTTATATAGAGATGATTACACAGGTGTTATATATTGATGAATACACAGGTGTTATATAGTGATGCTTACACAGGTTTTATATAGTGATGATTACACATGTGTTACATAGTGATGATTACACGGGTGTTTTATAGTGATGATTATACAGGCGTTATATAGTCATGATTACACGGCTGTTATATAGTGATGATTACACATGTGTTATATAGTGATGATTACACGGTTGTTATATAGAGATGATTACACAGGTGTTATATATTGATGAATACACAGGTGTTATATATTGATGAATACACAGGTGTTATATAGTCAGGATTACACAGGTGTTATATAGTCATGATTACACAGGTGTTATATAGGGATGATTACACAGTT